ACCAGATGCATTCACAGCTGAATTCTACCAGAGGTACAAAGAGGAGCTGGGACCATTCCTTCTGAAATTATTCCAAATAATACAAAAAGAAGGAATCCTCCCTAACTCATTTTATGAGACCAACATCATCCTGATACCAAAACCTGGCAGAGACACAACCAAAAAAGAAAATTTCAGGCCAGTATCCATGATGAACATTGATGTGAAAATCCTCAATAAAATTCTGGCAAACCAAATCCAATAGAACATTGAAAAGCTTATCCATCACAATCAAGTCGGCTTCATCCCTAGGATGCAAGGCTGGTTCAGCATATGCAAATCTATAAATGTAATCTGTCACATAAACACAACCAAAGACAAAAACCACGTGATTATCTCAATAGATGCAGAGAAGGCCTTTGACAAAATTCAACAATGCTTTGTGCTAAAATTTCTCAATAAACTAGATATCGATGGATCATATCTCAAAATATAAGAGCTATTTATGACAAACTCATAGCCAATATCATGCTGAATGGGCAAAAACTGGAAGCATTCCCTTTGAAAACTGGCAAAAGACAAGCATGCCCTCTCTGACCACTCCTATTTAACATAGTATTGGAAGTTTGGCCTGGGCAATCAGGCAGGAAAAAGAAATAAAGGGTATTCAATTAGGAAAAGAGGAAGTCAAATTGTCCCTATTTGCAGATGACATGATTGTATATTTAGAAGACCCCATTATCTAAGCCCCAAATCTCCTTAAGCTGATAAGCAACTTCAGCAAAGTCTCAGGATAGAAAATCAATGTGCAAAAATTACAAGCATTCCTATACACCAATAACAGACACACAGCCAAATCATGAGTGAACTCCCATTCACAATTGCTACAAAGAGAATAAAACACCTAGGAATACAACAAACAAGGGATGTGAAAGACCTCTTCGAGGAGAACTACAAACCACTGCTCAAGGAAATAAGAGAGTACACAAACAAATGGAAAAACATTCCATGCTCTTGGATAAGAAGAATCAATATTGTGAAAATGGCCATACTGCCCAAAGTAATCTATAAATTCAATGCTATCCCCATCACTCTATTATTGACTTTCTTCACAGAATTGGAAAAAATCACCTTAAACTTTATATGGAACCAAAAAGGAGCCTGCATAGCCAAGACAGTCCTAAGCAAATAAATAAATAAATAAATAAATAAAGCTGGAGGCATCATGCTATCTGACTTCAGACTATACTACAAGGCTACTGTAATCAAAACAGCATGGTACTTGTACCAAAACAGATATAGACGAATGGATCAGAGCAGAGGCCTCGGAAGTAATGCCACACATCCACAACCATTTGATCTTTGACAAACCTAACAAAACAAGCAATGGGGAAAGGATTCCCTATTTAATAAATAGTATTGGGAAAACTGGCTAGCCATATGCAGAAAGCTGAAACTGGATCTTTTTCTTATACCTTGTACAAAAATTAACTCCAGATGGATTAAAGATTTAAACATACAACCTAACACCATAAGAACCCTAGAATTAAACCTAGGCAATACCATTCGGGACATAGGCATAGGCAAGGACTTCATGACTTAAATACAAAAAGCAATGGTAACAAAAGCCAAAATAGACACATGGGATCTAATCAAACTGAAGAGCTTCTGCACAGCAAAATAAACTACCATTAGAATGAAACAGCAACCAACAGAAAGGGAAAATCTACCCATCTGACAAAGGGCTAATGTTGAGAATCTACAAGAAAAAAACCAACCCCATCAAACAGTGGGTGAAGGATATGAACAGACACTTTTCAAAAGAAGACATTTATGCAACCAACAAACATGAGAGAAAAGCTCATCACTGGTCATTGGAGAAATGCAAATGAAAACCACATTGAGATACCATCTCATGTCAGTTAGAATGGTGATCATTGAAAATTCAGGAGACAACAGATGCTGGAGAGGATGTGGAGAAATAGGAATGCTTTTATACTGTTGGTGGGAGTGTAAATTAGTTCAACCATTGTGGAAGATAGTGTCATGATCCTCAAGGATATAGAAATAGAAATACCATTTGACCCAGCAATCCCATTACTGGGTATATATCCAAATGATTATAAATCATTCTATTATAAAGACACATGCACATGTATGTTTATTGCAGCACTGTTCACAATAGCAAAGACTTGTAACCAACCCAAATGCCCATCAATGATAGATTGGATAAAGAAAATGTGGCACATATACACCATGGAATACTATGCAGCCATAAAAAGGATGAGTTCATGTCCTTTGCAGGGACATGGATGAAGCTGGAAACCATCATTCTCAGCCAACTGACACAAGAACAGAAAACCAAACACTGCATGTTCTCACTCATAAGCAGATGTTAAACAATAAGAACACATGGACACAAGGAGGGGAGGAACATCACACACTGGGAATGTTGGGGGGTGGGGGGGGCTAGGGGAGGGATAGCAAGGGGTGGGGGAATTGGGGAGGGATAACGTTAGGATAAATACCTAATGTAGATGATGGGGGTATAGATGCAGCAACACCATGGCTCGTGTATACCTATGTAACAAACCTGCACATTCTGCATGTACATATACCCCAGAACTTATATGTATATATATATATATATATATAAAATGGTCAGGGGTTTGCGTTCCTAGAATATACAGGGATACTCAAAGCCAATGATAGATTGCCTGTTGGAAAAATACACCCCATACACCCCTTAGCCCAATATATTCTTGGTCAAACTTGAGTTTTTACATGAGCATGCCACTCCATCAGCCACTCTGATTAATATGACCAGACTGGTTGGGGGCAAAATCATTTCATTTGTCTCTTCTAGGAGTTTTATAGTTTCAGGTCTTATGTTCAGGCTTTTAACACATTTGAAGTTATTTTTTGTACATGGTGTAAGATCATGTTTTTTATTTGCACGTGGATAATCAGTTTTCCCTACACCATTTGCTGGAGACTAATCTTTCCCCCAGTTTGTGGCCTTGGAACCCATGTCAAATATCACTTGACCATATAAGTGAGGGCTTATTTCTGGGCTTTCTCTTCTATTTCATTGGTCTGTGTGTCTGCCTTTATGTCTAAATAATACTATTTTGATTAGTTTCGTGATATGTTTCAAAATAGGAAGTGTGAGACTTCCAGCTTTGTTTTTCTTCCTAAAGGTTTTTTTTGGCTATATGGGGTTCTTTTAGATTTTATAGGCATTTTAGGGTTTTAAAAACTTTTTTAAAAAGAAGCTATTGGAATTTTGATAGGAATTGCATTTAATTTATAGATCACTTTGGGTAGTATTGTTATTTTAACAATATTAAGCCTTTTAATCCATGAACATGGGAGGTCTTTCCACTTATTTTTATCTTCTTTAATTTTTTAAAATACTGTTTTGTAGCAGTCTTTAATTTTTTTAAAATACTGTTTTGTAGCAGTGATACAAGAAACAGGAGGGATGAATTAATGATATTTTACTATTATAAGATACATTACTCCTAATGTAGTACAGTGTTATGTGAAAGTAGACTTGAATTCATTATAAATGTATATTGCAAACTCTAGGGCAACCAGTAAAGAAAGTCAAAAAAAGAAGTTTAGACATGCCAGGAAGGAAGAGAACATGACATTGTACAAAGCACTCAATTAAAATCACAAAAGGCAGAAAAACAGTGGAAAAGAAAAGCAAGAATAAAAAACAAGGGCAACAAATAGAAATCAGGAACAAATATGATATATTAATCCAACTATATCTGTAATGACTTTAAATGTTAGTGATCTAAATTTCACTAAGACAAAGAGTGTGTAGATCTAAAAATAAGGCCTAACTATATGTTGTCTATAAGAAACACATTTTAGCCCAGGCATGGTGGTTCATGCCTCTAATCCCAGCACTTTGGAAGGCCAAGTTGGGCAGATCACAAGGTCAGGAGTTTGGGACTAGCCTGGCCAGCGTGGTGAAACCCTGTCTCTACTGAAAATACAGAAATTAGCCAGGCATGGTGGCATGCACCTGTAATCCCAGCTACTCTGGAGGCTGAGGAAGGAGAATTGCATGAACCCAGGAGGCAGAGGCTGCAGTGAGCCAAGATCATGCCATTGCACTCCAGTCTGGGCAACAGAGCAAGACTCCTTCTTGAAAGAAAGAAACACATTTTAAATATAAGAGCATATATAGATTAAAAGTAAATGAATGAAGAAATATATACCATGCCAACACTAATTAAGAGAAAGTGGAAGTAGCTCTATAAATATCAGGCAGAGCAAACTTCGGAGCAAGAATAGTTATCAGGGATAAGGAGGAAAATTAAATAATGAAACAGTGTTCAGTACCCCGAGAAGACGTAATTTTTTTTTTTTTTTTTAAGATGGAGTTTTGCTCTGTCACCCAGGCTGGAGTGCAATGGCGCAATCTCGGCTCACTGCAGCCTCCACCTCCTGCAATTCTCCTAGGTCAGCCTCTCAAGTAGCTAGGATTACAGGCACCTGCCACCACACCCAGCTAATTTTTAGTTTTTAGTAGAGATGGGGTTTTATCATGTTGACCAGGCTGGTCTCAAACTCCTGACCTCAGGTGATACCCCTGCAGGGATTATAGGCATAAACTACCGCACTTGGTGATACCCCTGCAGGGATTATAGGCATAAGCTACCGCACTTGGCTGATATAATAATTTTTTGTTTTTTAGACACAGTTTCACTCTTGTTGTCCAGGCTGGAAGTCAGTGGCTTGATTTTGGCTCACCAAAACCTCCACCTCCTGGGTTCAAGCGATTCTCCTGCCTCAGCCTCCCCAGTAGCTGGGATTACACGCATGCGCTACCACGCCTGGCTAATTTTGTATTTTTTAGTAGAGATGGGGTTTCTCCAAGTTGGTGAGGCTGGTCTCAAACTCCTGACCTCAGGTGATCCACCCGCCTCGGCCTGGGCTTACAGGAATGAGACACGGTGCCTGACTGATATAGTAATTCTTAATTTTTATTCACCTAACAACAGGGCATCCAAATATGTAAGGCAAAAATAGAACTACAAGAAGAACTGGACGAATCTACTATTATAGTTGGAGACTTTAACACTCCTATATCAGAAATGGACATAGTCAACAAGCAGAAAACCAGTAAGGACATAGTTGAATTCAATAAGACCACCAATCAACTGTATATAATTGACACCTATAGAGTACTTCATCCAGCAGCAGACAGCTCATTACAGTTCTTCTCAAGATCACATGGAGCATACACCAAGATAGATCATACTCTGGGCTATAAAACACACCTCAACAAATGTAAAAGAAGTCACATAGCATCTGCTTTCAGACCACATGAAATTAAACTAGAAATTGATATCAGAAACATAACTGAGAATCACAAATACTTGGAGATTAAACGACATATCTCTAAGTAATATATGAGTCAAAAAAGTCTGATGAAAAGAGTAAAATATTTGAAATAAATGAAACTATAACTTGCCAAAATGTGTAAGATACAGCAAAAGCAGTGCTTAGAAATTTATAGCATTGAATACATATATTAGAAAAGAAGATTTAAAATCATTAATCCAGCTGTCAGCTTTTATCTCAGAGGAGGACAATGTGAAACTTTCTTCAGTTGTCCCGAATCTGGGTTCATAGAACACTAGCCCCTCCACCATGCCACTGAAGAAAAAAGTAAAAGAATTCATTCAATATTCTGCCTTAGGAAACTAGAAAAAAAAGAGCAAATTAAGTCCAAATAAGCAGAATAAGATAAATAAAAATTGTAGCAGATATCAATAAAACTGAAAGCAGGAAAGCAATAGAGAAAAATAACAAAACCAAAATCTAGCTTTAAAAAAAAAATCGGGCCGGGCACGGTGGCTCAAGCCTGTAATCCCAGCACTTTGGGAGGCCGAGGCAGGTGGATCACGAGGTCAAGAGATCGAGACCATCCTGGTCAACATGGTGCAACCCCGTCTCTACTAAAAACACAAAAAAATCAGCTGGGCATGGTGGCGCGTGCCTGTAATCCCAGCTACTCGGGAGGCTGAGCCAGGAGAATTGCCTGAACCCAGGAGGCAGAGGTTGCGGTGAGCCGAGAGTGCGCCATTGCACTCCATCCTGGGTTACAAGAGCGAAACTCCGTCTCAAAAAAAAAAAAAATCAAAAAAGTTGATAAACCTTAGGCAGGCTTACTAAGCAAAAGAGAGGGAAGACGCAATTACTAACATCAAAAGTAAAAGAGGGGGCATCGCTACAGATCCCATGCACACTAAAAGAATAATAAAGGAAAATTATGGATAACTCTATGCCTACACATTTGATTACCTAGATGGAAATGGACCGATTACTTAAAAGACACAGTCTGGCTGACGCCCGCCAGGCTGAGCTGTGGACCCAGGCGGCGCTGCTGCTGCTGCTGGGTGCCCAATGCCTTGAACCTGGGGAAACTATGTGAAGCAACACTTCGGATTTTGAAAGACATCATTTCATCATGGGACAGCAAATTTCGGATCAGACACAGTTGGTTATTAGCAAGTTACCAGAAAAAGTAGCAAAACATGTCACATTGGTTCGAGAAAATGGCTCCTTAACTTACAAAGAACTTCTTGGGAGAGTAGCTGAGCTTAATGATGTAACTGCTAAAGTGGCTTCTGGCCAGGAAAAACATCTCTTTGAGGTACAACCTGGGTCTGATTCCTCTGCTTTTTGGAAAGTGGTGGTACGGGTGGTCTGCATCAAGATTAACAAAAGCAGTGGCATTGTGGAGGCATCACGGATCATGAATTTGTACCAGTTTATTCAAATTTATAAAGATATCACAAGTCAAGCAGCAGGAGTATTAGCACAAAGCTCCACCTCTGAAGAACCTGATGAAAGCTCATCCTCTGTAACATCTTGTCAGGCTAGTTTTTGGATTGGAAGGGTAAAGCAGCTGACTGATGAGGAGGAGTGTTGTATCTGTATGGACTGGCAAGCTGACCTCATCCTGCCTTGTGCTCACAGCTTTTGTCAGAAGTGTATTGATAAATGGAGTGATTGACACAGGAATTGCCCTATTTGTCGCCTACAGATGACTGGAGCAAATGAATTTTGGGTGGTATCAGATGCACCCACTGAAGATGATATAGCTAACTATGTTCTTAACATGGCTGACGAGGCAGGCCAGCCCCACAGGCCATGACCTTGGAGTGAAGGTCTTCTGTTGCTATTGTAGGCTACAAATATTTGATCATGGGGGAAGAACACAAGGTTGTGGCACAGACACAGAAAAATCCATTTTCCCCACCCTTTTATTTCTGCTACTCTGATCATTTGTCCCACTTTAAAAAATTAATGTCCCATGTCTTCCATTTATGGTAAACTAAAATTTGCTACTGTTTTAGACTATATTTTCCTATTATTTGTCTGTTCAAATTTGTATTACAATTAATTGCTCCTGAATTCTTTGCTAAAGGTAACAGCAGCACTTCCAGAGGCTTCTGAAACACTAATGTTTTGTGGAGCAGGAGTATTCTGAGGTTAGTAGTTTGAGACCAGCCTGGCCAACATGGTAAAACCCTGTCTCTATTAAGATACAAAAACTAGGGCCGGGTGCGGTGGCTCAAGCCTGTAATCCCAGCACTTTGGGAGGCCGAGGCGGGTGGATCACGAGGTCGAGAGATCGAGACCAACCTGGTCAACATGGTGAAACCCCGTCTCTACTAAAATACAAAAAATTAGCTGGGCATGGTGACGCGTGCCTGTAATCCCGGCTACTCAGGAGGCTGAGGCAGGAGAATTGCCTGAACCCAGGAGGCGGAGGTTGCGGTGAGCCGAGATCGCGCCATTGCACTCCAGCCTGGGTAACAAGAGCGAAACTCTGTCTCAAAAAAAAAAAAAAAAAAAAAAAAGATACAAAAACTAGCTGGGCCTGGTGGCAAGCACCTGTGATCTCAGCTACTCGATAGGCTGAGGCAGGAGAATTGCTTGAACCTGGGAGGTGGAGGTTGTAATGAGCCAAGATTGTGCCACTGCACTCTAGCCCAGGAGACAGAGCGAGATTCCTTCTCAAAAAAAAGGACAAGAAAATAGAGTGATGCTTTTTTACTGTATATACATAAAAGACGTCTGAAAATTAGAAGATAATTTGGCATTCTTGCTGTTTCACTGTACTTCCATTGAAATATTCTTTCCATTAAAATAGTCTAAAAGAATATAGTAATAATGGAATTGTGATCTTCAGTCACAACCATTTTTTTGCTTATCATCTAAATTTCTAACATTAATATTTTGGCATGTAATAAAACAAGGGCCTGCCTCCTTTAAAATGTAACATTCCATGTAACTTTTCTGACTTCTTCAAAGTTGCAAATATTGCTATTTTCCTAAACCAGGGTACACAATTTAAGTTGCCACTGATTGATGACAGAATTTTTGGATAATAGGGTTTTAATAGGCAAGCAAATAAAATTAAATCAATTTCAAGGAAAAACATCTGGTATTTCAAGGTAGCTTGAAATTTCAAATTCCAAGGTAGCTTGATCTTGCCCCAAAAAATGCTGAAGACTAATCCATTGACATTCATAATGGGACAGCTAAATACCAAACAGCTAACTACTCCCTATGGAGGTTTATGCAAGCAGAGTACCAGGGGTTCCATCATATCAACCTGGCAATGCACTTGGTGGTTGTGTGACCTTGAGAAAGTCTCTTACTGTTGTTTGTAGGTTCCTACTTTAGAAACTGAGACTTTATTTGTGGTTTTCCCACTATGTCAGCAGCAAAAACTTTTTTTTCAAGGAAAATCTTACAGAACCCTTAAACACACATGCATACACACACATCCTACCCCTTATATAAAAGTCATATTTTATTATAAATGTCCTTATTTATTATATAAACTTTATATACTATAAATATGATTAAGTCAACCAATAAAAACACATTGATGCATTGGTAATAGCAGTATGTTTGAATTTAGTGAGTAACACCCTTGTATAATGGGAGTTGTTTTTTTTAAAAAGTTTTTTAATTCGGTCAAATTTGCAGAACCCTGTATCTCCTCCACAGATTCTTCGTGTTCCATGGAATATATTTTGAAAACCTTGGGATAGATGATCCACTGGGATCTTTTCCAGCTCAAAGATTTTAAATTTTCCTTTTGGATTAGACTTGCTGAGCTTAATTCAGATTGTCTCATTTAAAAATGTTTCTGAAATGTGAACAAAGTTACCTTACAGAGTTTTGCATCTTTCCAGGGATAGCCAATGATTTTATCCCCCAGAATCCTTCACCTTTCAAGGAATTATTTAACAATGAGACCAGTGACTCAACAGGGCCCAAACCTTTTTATTTTACAATATGAGCTCCAAGACACTTACTGATCTACTGTGAATATAAAATATTATTAGCCTTATCAAATATCGAATAAATGAATACAGCTCTTTGTTCACGCTATTAAACTGGGTGATAATTCTTTAGATGTGACTGTTAGGTAGGTTCTACTGTAATAACATCGTAAAAGTTGTAAATTTGTTTGATAGATGTTTTGTATTCTGTACAGCATTGTCTTTTTTAAATTTGAAGTACTTAAATGTACTTACTATAATAGGAAACATAATGTGTGCCTTCTAGGATTTGTGAAGTGGTCTCATGAGCTCTAAGGAATTTGTTTTATAAGTTATAAAGTTTTCCCTATCCTAACTCAGTAACAGAGGGTTTACTCCGATTATGTATAGAACCTTAGTTTGAGAAAATGAATTTGACTATGTACTGAATTTAGAGGTTGAGAATAATAGTATCTGTGTTATTCTTAGGACCACTGATAAATTATGCAATAAATAATCATTTGCAAGTTAAAAAAAAAGACACAGTCTGCCAAAATTAACACAAAAAGAAATCAGCACTTTTAGTAAATTTATATTGATTAAAGTAATTGGATTAATAATTAATAACCTTCCAAAACAGAAAGCATGAGGCCTGGATGGATTCATTAGTGAACGCTTCCAAACATTTAAGGAAGAAATTATACCAAACCTCTATAATCTCTTCCGGGAAGCAGAGGTTACTTCCTAACCCATTCTATGAGGCTGGCATACCCTAACATTCAAATTAAACCAAGATTTTACAAAAGCTTGGTGCAGTGGTTCACACCTGTAATCCCACACTTTGGGAGCCTGTGATGGGATGATCACTTGAGTTCAGGAGTTCAACATCAGCCTGGGAAAATATCAAAGCCTCATCTCTACTTAAAAAAAAAATTGCCAGGCCCAGTGGCTCATGACTTTAGGAGGCGTTTCTACTAAAAATACAAAATTAACTGGGTGTGGTGGTACATGCCTGTAATCCCAGCTGCTCAGGAGGCTGAGACAGGAGAATTGCTTGAACCTGGGAGGCAGAGTTTGCAGTGAGCTGAGATCACACCATTGCAGTCCAGCCTGGACAACAAGAGCAAAACTCCTTCTCAAAAAAAAAAAAAAAAAAAAAATAGCTGATATGGTGGCACACACCTGTTGTCTCAGCTGCTTGAAAAGCTGAAGTGGGAGGATAACTTGAGCCCAGGAGATCAAGGCTGCAGTGATCTGTGATCATGCCACTGCATTCTAGTTTGGGCAACAGAGTAAGTCCTTGTCTAGAAAAAAAATTTTCAAGAAAAGAAATCAAAGAGTATAATTAATTCTATCAGGAATGCTGGTTTCTTCATTTTTGAGGCTATGACAAACAGGACCATTTTATCCATTGAATAATACAGACCCCCACATCAAGAGTCTGGGAGCTTTTCAGGGTTTATAAAAAATGTTTTATATGTGAAAAAAAGAATCTCGAATTTACAAAAAGAAAACTGCAAAATCCTACACATTGCCAAAGCTGTAGAAACTGAACTCCTAGTCTTTTGATTCCCCGTTTTTTTTTTTTTTTTTTTTTTTTTTTGGGGAGGAAGGCAGGAAGGGAGGGAAGGAGGACGGTAGGGAGGAAGGAAGGAAGGAAGGAAGGAAGGAAGGAAGGAAGGAAGGAAGGAAGGGAGGAAGGGGGGGAGGGAGGGAGGGAGGGAAGGGAAGGAAGGAAATCAAGCAATGAGAGAGACATTGCCGACCTGGATCTAGAGGTTTACACGTTGATTTCTTTTTTTTTGAGAGAAGGAAAGAAAAAAAATAAGTAAAGGAGAGGAAGAAAGAGGAAGAGAAAGAGGGAGAGTAAATGGAAATATTGCTTTATTCTGAAAAAAATTGGGTATTAATAATGGCCAATCAATGTTTCATTTAAACCTATGGGTAGGTGTGATGAGGTATTGACAAGAATGTATATTTTGTGTATTTGAAGTGGTAAGCTCTATAAATATTTATTAAGTTTACTTGTTCCGGATCTGAGTTCGAGTCCTTGATATCCTTATTAATTTTCTGTCTCATTGAATCTAAGTCTCTATGTATCTGGGTGTTAGGATCATTAGCTCTTGTTGTTGCATTGATCCTTTTACCACTATATCTTTGTTGCTTTAAAATCTATTTTATCCGATACGAGAATTGCAACTCCTGCTTTTATTTATTTTTGCTCTCCATTTGGTTGGTAAATCTTTCTCCATCCCTTTGTTTTGAGTCTTTGTGTATCCTTGCATGTGAAACAGGTCTGGATGTAACCTGCTGTTGGGTTTTGGCTGTGTCTTTTGATTGGGGGATTTAGTCTACTTAAATTTAGGGTTACTGCCATTTGATGTTGACTGGCTGTTTTATCCATTCGTTGGTGTAAATTCTTCTTTATGTTGGTGCTCTTTACTTTTTGGTGTATTTTTAGAAAGGCTAATACTAGTTGTTTCTTTCTGTGTGTAATGCTTCTTTCAGAAGCTCTTGTAAAGCAGGCCTGGTGGTAATAAAATCTCTGAGTTCTTGCTTGTTCATAAAAGATTTTATTTTTCCTTCAGTTGTGAAGCTTAGTTTGGCTGGATATGAAATTCTGGGCTGAAGGTTCTGTTCTTTGAGGATGTTGAATATTGGCCCCCACTCTCTTCTGGCTTGTAGAGTTTCTGCTGAGATCTGCTGTAAGTCTGATAGGCTTGCCTTTGTGGGTAACATGACCTTTCTCTCTGGCTGCCCTTAGTATTTTCTCCTTCGTTTCAACCCTGGTGAATCTAACGATTATGTGCCTTGGGGTTGCTCTTCTTGAGGAATATCTTTGTGGTGTTCTCTGTATTACCTGGGGTTGAATGTTGACCTGCTTTGCTAGTTTAGGAAAATTTTCCTGAATAATATCCTGAAGGGTATTTTCCAGCTTGGATTCATTCTCTCCGTCGCATTCAGGTACACCTATCAAACGTAAATTTGGTCTTTTCACATAGTCCCACATTTCTTGGAGACTTTGCTCATTCCTTTTTATCCTTTTTTCTCTAATATTTTCTTCACGTTTTATTTCATTAAGTTGGACTTTGACCTCCGATATCCTTTCTTCTGCTTGAACAATTCGAGTGTTTAAACCTGTGCATACTTCTCGGAGTTCCTGTATTGTATTCTTCAGTTCCATTAATTCACTCATACTCCTCTCTAAGTTGTCTATTCTCAATAGGATTTCATCAAACCTTTTTTCAAAGTTCCTAGTTTCTTTACGTTGGGCTACAACGTGTTCTTTTAACTCACTGAAGTTTGTTATTATCCATTCCTTGAAGAGTGATTCTGTCATCAGGATGCGCTCGTTCTCCATCAAGCCTTGTTCCATTGTTGATGAGGAACTGTGATCACCTTTAGAGGGAGAGGCATTCTGACTTTGAGTATTCTCAGCTTTTTTATGCTGGTTTCTTCCCGTCATTGTAAATTTATCCTCCTGCCATCTTTGAATTTACCAACTTTCAGACTAGGTCTCTTGAGTGGGCGTCCAGGTTGTTAATTCCCAGGGCCAGAGCAGCAGCGTTAAAACTGATGGTGCTTTTCTTCCCAGGATTCTCCTGTCGGGCTTCCTTCTTGTGTCCGTAGAAGGTGACTCTGCCTTCCCGGGGCTCCAAACCTCGGTCAGAAGGGGAAGCAGTCCCGTTTACTCTGCGCCGAGCGCTGCCGCGCCGAGGTGCCCTCACAGCCACTGTGCTGGGCTCTGGTGTTGTGCTGGGGGCCCGTGCGGGTCCTCCAAACCTGTTTACTCTGCTCCGAGAGCTGCCGTGCCAAGGTGCCGTCACAGCCGCTGCGCTGGGCTCTGGTGTCCTGCTGGGGGCCCGTGTGGGTCCTCCGAACCTGTTTACTCTGCTCCGAGAGCTGCGCGCCGTGGTGCCGGCGAACTGCTGCGCCGGCCACGAGAGTCTCGCTGGCCACCAGTGTGTTTCCTCCACTGGGGGATCTTCTGTTCCATGAGCAACCAGAATTTGTCTGAAAGTGTGGCGTCCTCTAGTTCTCTGTGCCTTCCCTGAGAGCTGCAATCCCGGGATGTTAGCGATCGGCCATCTTGGATCCATTCCGATTCCCCGTTTTTTACGGCTCTGAATACCATAGGACTGCCAGCATTTCTGGCTCCAGTGGCAAATCTAGCCCTAATATAGATGCTGTAGAGCAATAAGATCCTCTGATAGCCAGATGGATGCCTAAGCTATCATAGCCTAATGACATCATTGCAACATCATTTTTTGAACTTCCTTGTGCTGATCCATTGTTCACCAGTTCACCTTCTGATTCCCATGTAGGTGTGCAGAGAGGATGCAGTATGTCTTTGGGTATTTCTGCTCTAACAATGCTTTCTCAAGTACACCAATACAATAGCTTGTGATTAAGGGCTGTCACACCACATGTCTAGAATTTGAGAAGAAAATAGGCTAATCTGGGCACTGTGGCTTACACCTGTAATCTGAGCACTTTGGGAGGCTGAGGCAGGATCACGAGGTCAGGAGTTCGAGACCGGCCCGACCAACATAGTGAAACTCTGTCTCTACTAAAAATAAGAAAAATTAGGTGGGCATGGTGGTGGGCACCTGTAATTCTAGCTACTTTGGAGGCTGAGGCAGGAGAATCACTTGAACCCAGGAGGCGAAGGTTGCATTGAGCTGAGATCGAACCACTGCACACCAGCCCGAGTGACAGTGTGAGACTCCATCTCAGATGAAAAAAAAGAAAATAAGCCAATCATGTCAACATTATTATTATTATGGTCCCTTACAGCCATACATTTCTAAGTGTAAATTAAACTGCTAATTTAAGAGGGATGAGGAATATTCTCACACATCTTGTCATTCACATCTTTAGTATTACACTTAATTCTAGCTGATTCAGGCCTCGTGAATCCTTGTGTTAATCTTATTCTCAATGTCCAGGTTCTAACCTCTACTGTTCTTCCACTGTTGACCTTCCCTTGCCAGGCCTATCTTAACAGCTGAACCCTAGGCTTCTGTTTCTCTTTTTTTTTTTTTTGAGACAAGAGTCTCACTCTTGTTTCCCAGGTTGGAGTGTAATGGCGCCATCTCGGCTCACCTCCCGGGTTCAAGTGATTCTCCTTCCTCAGCCTGACGTGTAGCTGGGACTACAGGCGCATGCCACCACATCCAGCTAATTTTTGTACTTTTAGTAGAAACTGGGTTTCACCATGCTAGCCAGGATGGTCTCGATTACGTCGTGATCCGCCCCCCTGGGTTTCCCAAGGTGCTGGGATTACAGGCATGAGCTACCGCACCCAGCCTGTTTCTCCATCTTTAACTGTGTTGTTTTAGGCTCTTGGGTAAAACCCTGTCAACTCAGTTCCCAGGTTTCTTGAGCCACAGTGACGCCCCTGAAGTTTGTGCTCCCTGAATGCCCCAGAGCTGGAAACCTGGCAGCTTTTGCACATAAAATTCCTTTTTTATAAAAGTGTTCAGGCCAGGCATGGTGGCTCACACCTGTCATTCCAGCATTTTGGGAGGCCTAGGCTGGCGGATCTTCAGGTCAGGAGTTTGAAACCAGCCTAACCAACATGGTGAAATCCCATCTCTACCAAAGATACAAAAATTAGCTGGACGTGGTGGTGTGTGCCTATAATCCCAGCTACTCAGGAGGCTGAGGCAGGAGAATTGCCTGAGCCCAGGAGGCGGAGGTTGTGGTGAGCCGAGATCGCGCCATTGCACTCCAGCCTGGGTGAAAAGAGAGAAACTCCGTCTCAAAAAAAAAAAAAAAGAAAGAAGGCAATATAATCATATTTGCATATTAGAAGAAACATTCACTCAGAGGGCAGGTTAAATGGACCAGTGGAGGAGGGGCAGGAAGGCCAGCTCAGAGATGTAGGCCAGTTCAGAGGCTTCAACAATAGAAAAGGCAGGAAAATAATGAAATGGAATAGGGTGGAGGCAATGGGGCCAGAAAAAATGGCAAGGAAAGATGTCAGAGGAGTTGACAGGATTCTTGGTGTCAGATTTATGGGGTTAAGCAGAGAAGGGGCAAGGTTGACTCCCAGGTTTCTGGCATGAACTGGATGGTTTCTGGCACTTCATGAGAGGAAACGCACAATGGTTGTGTGTGTGGTTTTTTGTTTGTCTGATTTTTCTGGCAGTGGGAGTGCTGCAGGGTGGGACAAAACATGGGGAGAAGAGAGACATGTGTTTCAGTTTGGGCATGCTGAGTCAGAGGCTCCTGGGAGTCAAGAGAGATGTTAAACATACAGTTGGAGTCCTTTACTTCAGTCTCCTCCTCTATATTTCCAGGGTGAAGCAGCTAGTAGGACTGCTTAGCACATAAGAGAAAATGGATAAAACTTTCCTAACACTTTGCCTGGTACATAGAAGGTCCCGAATAACTGGCAGCTCTTATGATTACTAAAACCTTAGAAAAGTGATGCATTATTCACGAGGTCAGGAGTTCAATACCAGCCTGACCAACAGGTTGAAACTCCATCTCTACTAAAAATACAAAAATTAGCTGGGTGTGGTAATGTGCACCTGAGTAGCACCCAGCTACTCAGGAGGCTGAAGCAGGAGAATCACTTGAAC